GTTGGTGAAATGTAAACTACTACGATTCCTATGGAAATCAGTATGGAGATTCCTCAAAAAGTAATACTAGAAATTCCATTTGACTAAACTATTCCCCTTCTACGTGTCTTCCTGGAAGAGTTAATGATATCATATTACAGTGATACATACATTCCCATGCTTGTAGCAGCACAATTCATAAAAGCTGGTTCTTGGAAGCAGCCTATATGTCCATCAACAGATGAAAGGAAAAGGAAAATGTATTTATACACAATGGACTACTACTCTTCCACAAAGAAAGATACAATTGAGTCATTTGTAGGAAAATGGATGCACCTTGAGATTATAATGTTAAGTGAAATAAGACAAGCTTAAATATCACATGGTTTCTCTTATATGAGAAACCCAAAATATAAATAAAGAGCAAAATAAAAGATAACAAGTAGGAAGATTGATTTTTTTTTTCCACATGGAAAAGGTATATAAAGACAAAGATGGAGGGGGAAGGAAGTGGAGGGAAAGGGGACATAAAAATAATTAAGATGGCTATGGTAGCTTTCTTCACAATACCCCGCCCTGCTTCCTCCAGGGTGTTGTTCTGTCTTGCTTTTTCCTCTTTTACTCCACCCAAGCTCGCTTTGCAGAGCCTTCTCTTCACTTTTCACTCTTCACTTTTACTTTTTCAAATAAATTTGGCACTGCTTTTTGGAGGAAAAAAAAAAGAATTAAGATGTATTCTGTACATGTACCAACTCCCCACAAGGAATGTAATCATATGTACTGCAAACATATACTAATAAAAAATAAAAAAGTCAATGAGCTTGAAGGTAGATAAATAGAAATTATCTATGAACAACAAAAGAGAGAAAAAAGAGTGAAAGAAATGACAGGACCTCAAAACCCTCAGAGACAACATACAAAAAATCTAATATTCATTGATTCACAGAGAGAGAAAAGAAGGTGTGGTACAAAAACTTGTTTGAAGAAAAGATGGCTGACAACTTTCCCCAAATTGTCAAAAGACATAGACTTATGGATTCAAGAAGCCCAGTAAAGGGCCGGGGATTTAGCTCAGTGGTGCCGCTGCCTGCCTCGCAAGTGCAAGGTCCTGAGTTCGATCCCCAGTACCAAAAAAAAAAAAAAAAGGTCCAGTAAAATCCAGATCAAACAAACTGGAAATACTCACGAACCAATATATCTTAAACTCATAAAAACTAAAAATAAAGGAAAAAATTCTTGAAAGGATCATGAAAAAATATAGGGAAACAGCAATTCAATATCTAGTGGAAATATCCTTCATCAGTGAAGGCAAAATGACATTCTCAAACAAAGGGAAACCGGAGAAAGCCTTACTAGCCAATGTGCTTGCTTTGGAAATTCATTAGACAGAGGGAAATGATTTCAGAGAGAAACATGGGACTTCCAAGATGAAGGAAAACCAACAAGCCGTGAGTGGGTAAATTGAATATTCTTTACCACTTGGGTTCTTTAAAACGTGTGAGGTCTGAAAACAAAAATCATAATATTATCTGATGGGATTTGCAATATCTGTACATGTAATGAATTTTATAACTACAGTACAAAGAGGGTGGGTAAAGTAATCAATGATACAAAACATGAATTACCAGTATAGAGAAGAATTAGAGTCCACAAAAAGCTTCCAAACAGAAATCCAGGAGATTAAAAATATGGGCAGCAGAAATGACCAATGTGAGGACAGAGTGTAAGAATCAGAAGATAGGGATTCTTTCAAAGACCAGTTACTCAAAGATTCCTTAAAAACAGCAAGAGAGGGCTGGTTTCAGTGGTTTCACCACCTGCTGTGCAAGCGTAAGGACCCAAGTTCAATCCCCCCCATACCAAAAAAACAAACAAAAAAACAACAACAAGAGAACATGAAAAATGGATATAACTGCTGCTAGATAATACAAAGACTAATCTAAGATTAACTGAAATAAGTGAAGAATTAGTAGACAGCACAAATGGCATAACAAAACACAAACTTTAAAGCCAGGAGAGCTTGAAGCATTTCAAGTTCTAAAAGAAAACAACTTCCAACTGAGACTTACACATCTGTATGGTGAAAATACAAAGTAAAAAAACAAAAAAACAGGAGAAAGTATTTCTTATTTGCTTTCTCAAAAAAGAATCAATTTTCTGAACACATGCAATCTTTCTTATCATTTTTTTTTCCTGCAGAACTGGAGCTTGAACTCAGGGCCTTGTATGTGCTAGGCAAGTGCTCACCACTGAGCTACACCCGCAGTCCTTTTTATTTTATGTTGAGATAGGGTCTTGCAAAGTTCCCCAGCCTGGCCTGAAATTTGAAATGCTCCTGCCTCAGCCTCCTAAATAGCTGGGATTACAGTTATGCAGCACAACACCCAACTTCTCATGTATAAATTTTTAAAGACCAACAAATCAACAAAAAATATACAAAGAGTGTGAATAGTCAGTTCTCAGAAAAAGAAATGCAAATGACCCTTACACATGTGAAAAAAACTGATCCACTCATATCTAGAGGAATGCAAATCCCCTAATAGAAATTATCTGGGGGGGGGGAGAAATTGCCAGGGGAGATCTTGGTTTCTAAATAATATTCTCCAATAAAAAGAACTAGAGCTTCATGGGGAATCAGCTGCTTCTAGGGCTAGGTTGGGGAGAATACAAAATAAGGAAATAAGGAGATGGAAAAAAAAGAAGATGGGGGAAATCAGGCCCACAGACACCAACTCAGGGAAGTAGGAAGCCCTGGGTGAAGCGGCTTCTAATGGCCAAAGTGGAAAAACTTCACCAACAGAATAGTGGGATAGTATTTAACTATACTCCAAAGAATAAAATAAGTAAATGGAAGAAAAGGGGAAATCTTCCTTACAGGAGTATATTAAAAAGAAAATAGAGCTCACCAGGTAGGTGGCACAGAACTATAATCCAGCACTCTGGGAGGCTGGGCCTGGGGGGTCACAAGTTTGAGCTCAGCCTGGGAACTGAGATTTATCAAGACCCTGTCTTTAAAAAATAGAGCAACACTGCTTCATTCCAGAGCAGGTATTTCCAGAGTCCAGCCTGGGTGACAAGCTCTGGGGTGGGCCTGGCCATGATGAGCTGCTGGGGCCCTCATATCCTGCTGGGGGGGACAGGAACACCACAGGGATCCAGGCCCCATGAGTGAGCACTTCCTGCTTTTCTCCCAGCCCCTCTAGACCCGGCATCCTGTTCTGCTTTCTTTCATTACCCTTTTTGCAAACTAAGATGTAATTTACATGAAGCAAAAGGACTCGTTTTAAATATAGTTTGGTATGTTTTGACTCATTCATGTCCCTGTGTAACCACCACCCTAATCAAAGCAGAGAACACTCCCAGCCTCCCAGGATGCTGGACAGTTACTGGTCTGACTTCTATCACTGTTGCTTACTTCTGCCTACTCTGGCATCTCATAAAAGGGGAGAAAAGGGTATGTACCCTTTTGAATCTTCCTTCTTTCATTTAACAGAATGCATCTGTTCTGTGGTGTTTATCAGTGGTTCCTCCCTTTTCCCCACTCAGTAGTATTCTATTGTGTGGATATCCCATAGTTTATTCCTTCACCTGTTGATGGGCATGTGGTGGTTTCCAGTCTGGGTTATTAAAAGCAGAGTCACAGGCCAGGGATTTAGCTCAGTGGTTCCGGTGCCTGCCTCACTAGCACAAGGTCCCGAGTTCGATCCCCAGTACCAAAAAAAATGCAGAGCTGCTATGAAACAGGTCTTTGTACAGACAGGAGTTTTCATTTCTACCAGATAAATAACCCATGGCTGGGTTATACAGTAAGCCTAGGGAACTTATGAAGAAACTGCCAAACTGCTTTCCAAAGTGCTGGAATCTTGGACACCTGTAAGCCGCAGTATAGCAGAATTCCTTTGCTCTATGTCCTCACCTGCACTTGCAGCCCTTTGTCCTTTGAAGCCACTTTAATGGGTGTGAATTATCTCGCTGTAGTCCTCCTGTGCAGGCCTAGGAACCTAATGGTGCCAAACCTCTTTTTATGTTTTTTATCAGACATTCATATACCTCCTTTGTGAGCTGTCTGTTCAAATCTTTAGCCCATTTTAAAAAATCAGTTGTTTCCTTGTTATTGAGTTGCGGTTCAGATCCAGGCCTTCCTCTCTTGGAACATTACCTGGCCTCCTCCTGAGGACCTGAGAGGAAAATCCAAATGCCAGGGGTCTGGCCCTCCATGCTCCAGCCCACCCCTTCTCTGACCAGTGCCCTTCCCTCTCCTAGTAGTCCTGTTTTGATACTGCTGGTCCGGCTGTCCCAAAAACCAGTCGGACATCTGTTACCAGGAACTGTCCCATTTAAGTTTCCTTGGACTCTTAGTGCTTGCTCTCTTTTACCCACCTCCTCCTGGAACAGCTGGGTCTTCCATGCACCCTAGACTTCTAGCTCTGCTGGGCAATGAACAATGAAAGCTGGGAAAGGCTTCTCTGAGAAAATGGCCCTGCATCACAGTCACTGAGGAATCAGGAGGACTTCATCAGATAAGAAGGTAAACAAAGCAGGCAGAGTCTGTACAAAGGCCCTGTGGCAGGAAGGAACATGGTTTGTTCAAAAAAATGTAAGAACGTGGATGAGTGGGAGGGACAAAGGAGGGAAGAGCCCAAGAGGATGTTTTGTCTATAGGAGACCCAGAGTAGAAGGGACTGCCCAGGGTGGTTTGTTTTTGTTTTGTTTGGGTGAGGGTGGAAATGACTAGGACTGATGACATGCATCCCCCTGGCTGCCAAGGGAGGAAACCAAGAGGGCTCTTAAAAAGCCCTTACTCAGTTCAGGGAGGCAAGTGGAGTTTGGAAGCCAGTGCTGTTAAGGAGTGAGCAGAGACCAGAGTAAGCTTTAGGAAGGAAAGATGGCGGGCCTCGGGCTTGGCGATGGAGTGACGGTGGAGGGTGAGGAAGGACAATTCCCACATCTCTGGCTCTTGGGGGATGGGGGTTCCCTTCACAGAGGCTGGGCGCCTGCTGTAGATGTACACTCGGCCCGTGTCTGTGCCGCGCGGGGTGGCGGGGGCGGCAGAGACAGACAAGACTGAGAGACAGACTGAGACGGCCAGTGGTGTCCGTCTGGGAATCCTCGGAATGGGATGCGCTGGGGATGGGGCCGTGGAATCCAGGCCAGGGGCAGCCGACAAAGGGCCAGGAAGGAGAAGGGTTGAGCATAAACCGAGAGGAGAGTGAGAGAGTGGGCGGGGAAGTGGTAGGAAAGAGAGGGACGGACAGGGGAGCTGACTGCGCTGTCCGAGCCAAGGGAGGACGAGGCGGGGGTCTCCGCTGTGGAGACGCCCGGGTTCCCGGCCTCGGACTCGCCCCGGCAGGATCAGGCCTGGGGCAGAGTGTAGACGGCTCTCGGGACAGGTACAGGGGGTCCGGAGCTCCGACGGGTGTTCGAGGCGGGTAGAGGGGGTCGGGGCGCCCAGGACCACGGTGAGCGGAGCAGAGGGCTGAGGGCCCCGGGCGGGGGCGGGGGCGGCGGCGGCGGGTGGAGCCCGGGCTGCTGGGGTCGAGGAGGGCGGAGAGGGAGGGAGAGGGGGAGGGAAGGGGGCGGGGCGGCGGGGATGCGCCGGGCGCCGAGTTAGTTTTGCCTCTTCTTCCGCACAGCCTGGGTTTCCGCTTCCCTCCCGGGCGCGAGTTGAGCGGGAGGCAGCCCGAGCCTCAGTCCTGCGCCGACTCCGCCATGTGGCCCCCCGACCCCGACCCCGACCCGGACCCCGAGCCTGCGGGCGACTCCCGGGCCGGCGCCGCAGTCCTCGGGCTCCGTGCGCTGCTGCCGGCGCGCGCTTTCCTCTGCTCGCTCAAAGGCCGCCTCCTGCTGGCCGAGTCGGTGAGTGCGGGACCCTGCCTGGCCGCCGCGACCCCCGCCGGCCCCCGCCACCGAGCCCCGCGGGGAGTTGGCCGACGCCCCGAGTTTCGGACGGCTTGGAGCAGAGGCGAGGCGGGCCCCCGAGCCCAGGCCTTCCCGGGTTCTTCAGCCCTCGAGGCCCAAGTCGGGGCCGCAGGGCGCGCGGTGGGGAAACAGGGGAGGATCGTCCCCGCTGGTGCGGCCGCGGGCCCTGGGAAGCCGAGGCCGGCACTGGGTGACTTCGGGCGCCTCCGCCCTCTCTGGAGCCGGCGAGCGCGGCGCCTGGGCACCTTCGGGCTCGGTCGCCGGCGCCCCGTAGCGCACCTCTAGGGCCCCGGAGAATACGCCCCCCCCCCCGACGTTCAGGACCCGCGGGGCGTGGGACAGGGAGGGTCCGCGTCTCCCAGCCCCGGGACTGGGTGAGGCCGGGGGCGCGGGTAGCACCGCCGCTGCAGGGGCGAGAGCCAGCGGGGTGACTTCATCCCCTGCTCCCCGCCCCGCTGGGCTCCTTCCGCCTTCCCGCTCGTCCCCACCCGGCCGGCAGGCCTTCTTTGTCCTCCCGACAGACACTCGGAAACCTCCCGCACTGTCGCATCCCGTGGGGCAGGGACGGGCGTAGGGCCTCTGGGAATGAAGGGGAGGAAGAGGCCGGGCGGAGGGGAGACAGGAGGAAGGCCTGTTCTCAGCGGCGGCCACTTGTGGCTTAGATCCCAGTAATTTGACCATACCTGTCCTTATACACGCTAGGGGGTCCGGGATGGACCGAGAGAGAGACAGAGAAAGCGTAAGTAGAGGCGGCTAGGGGATGACAGGTGGGTCAGACAAGGCCAAGTCAGAGTAGGAGGGTGGGTCACCGGGAGAATTCTGCCCCAGGCCCTTGTCTCGTACCCCAGGGCAGATGCCAGCAGGTGGTCTTGAAGTCTGCAGCCCAGCACCTACTCACTCCCAAATGAGGCAGCGGGTGGACCCAGAGCCCGAAAGCCCAGGGACAGCCTGCTGGCTGCTCACCCCTGCCCCACCCTGGTGACCTCGGGGAGTCACTTAAATTTACTGTCCAACATAGGGGCTCCAACTCCACCCCTCCCAGGACCACCTCAAGGGTAGGGGGTGGGGTGCCCGCTGGAGCATAGAAGAAGCCCTTGGCCTGGCTTGGTGTCAGGAATCCAGCCCCAGGAAGATCAGCAAGGGACAAGGAAGAAGAGGCAAAGGATGTGCACTCTTTTTTTTTTTTGGTACCAGGGATCGAACTTTCGAGGCAGGCGCTGGAACCACTGAGCTAAATCCCCAGCCCGGATGTGCACTCTTAACAAGGGAGCTGCTCCTAGTCACCCTGCCCCCAGGCCAACGCAAGAAGGAAGGCTGACATGGGCAGGAAGGGGAAGGGAAGGGCCACCAAGAATTGGAGACTGAGGAAACAGGAATCATCAAGAAGGGGATACCCAGAATCTGGCTTTGATGGGGGGTGGGGTGGGGGACAGGAAGGGGAGGGCCACAGCAGCCTTCAGCCAGGGAAGTACAGTAGAAGATATGGACAGGGCTGGCCATGATCTTGTGGCCTGCCTTCCCAGACATCCTCACAGCCTCTTATCTGTCCACGTGGGGGCTCAGCTACCCCCAAGACCATGTTCAAGGCAGCCAAGAGGGCTCTGGGGACTTCCTGGGATCGCTGCAGTTCATTTGTCTCAAGCAGCCACCGTGCTTCCTGTGGGGTATCTGGGAGTCCCCAAGGGGCCCCTGCAGTCCCTGGGCCCCACTCCAAGCTACTCAGCCATGGACATGCTCAAACCCAGCCACACTTACAAAAACCAGGGTAGATGAAGGCCTCCAGAGCCCACAGGTCAGCATGTGCTGGGTTCAAATTCTGGTGCCCTCTTATTAGCTGTGTGATGCCATGTGTGGTCCTCTATAAAGAAGAGCTGTGAGCAGTGGGCCATGGGTGGTGGTGACCATCAGGAGAGATACCCAAAAGCCTCAGTGGGCACAGGGTACAGAGGAACCATCCTCTTGGTCTGCAGAACTAACAGGGCAGCCTCAGGATCCCGTCCATTCACAGCATGTGGGCAAGGCTGCAGTCAAGTACAATCAGCCCCTCCTTTCACCATGGCTGTGCAAGTGATGTGACAGGGCCCTGGTGTTAATGCCACCATACCCTCTCCTGGATAGTTTTTTCTTATTATGCAAATTTTCAAATAAAAAGGCTGAAAAATTTGTATCAATAACACCCATACACCTACCTCTTAGACTGTACAATGGTTAACACTTTGCTGTATTTGCTGTATTGTCCATCAACCCATTTTATGTTTTTATGCGTTCAAAGTAAATCGCAGACATCAGTACATTCTGTGCATTTGCCTTTCTGCATTCATATCATTACCTAAAGTTTAAGATTTTTGGCTAAGGCAGGAAGATCTGAAGTTTGAGTCAACTCCTGGGCAACTTAGTGAGTCACTGTCTCAAAGTAAAAGATAAAAAAAGAAGAACTGAGATGTGGCTCAGTAAGGAAGGCACTAGCTTCAATCCCCAGTACCAAAACAAAGTTTTTTGTTTGTTTTCCAAGTAAAATTTACATTTAGTGAAAAACACAAAGCTAAGGTGTTGGGTGTTACTTTTTGAAACTGGTTGCTATTTAGCTTCAGCTTGTCCCTCGTAGACACCAAGTTGGGTGAATTCTGCCATAAAACCAGTGAGGAGATGCAGGTGTGGGGGTGGGGAGCCCCAGGAAGTAGCCTCCCCACAGGGCTGGATAGGCTTGGGAGGCTGGGGCTTCAAGAGTGGGTCTTTCGAGCGATCAGGACTCTGAGCCATGCCCAGAGGGACTGGGAACAGCATGGATGTGCACCTGGACCTCATGCCAGCCTTAACCCCAACTGCGGGACTGAGCAAGTGGCACCCTAGCTGGAGCCTCTCGTTCCTGAAGGCAGGAAAAGGCTCTGACTCTTACTGGCTTCCCCACAGGGTCTCTCATTCATCACTTTCATCTGCTACGTGGTGTCCTCAGCATCTGCCTTCCTCACAGTGCCTCTGCTAGAGTTCTTGCTGGCCCTCTACTTCCTCTTCGCTGATGCCATGCAGCTGAATGACAAGTGGCAGGGCTTGTGCTGGCCCATGATGGTGAGGACCAGGGGACCCACGAGGAAGGGGCTGGCTGTAGTGATATTCATTACTGATCAGCAGATGAGAAATCCAGAGTCCTGCATGTTGACCCTGCCCTGTCTCCAAAGCACTGGAAGGGCAACTTGCTGCTGGTAAATTGATTATCCAGACTTGCCCCGCCGGCTGTGGTAAAACCTCGGGCAGGAAACCTGGAGACGGTCTTTGTACACCAGGTGGCGCTGTTGCCCCCCACAGCAGGGCCTTGCAGGAATGAGCCCCAGCCACAGGAATTCGAGCCATTTCCAGCTGCGGGGGCAGGTTAACTGAGGACCTGCAAGGTTCACCCAGACCTCAGCCATCTGGCATCCTGGCCATCTTTGATCACCCGGAGAGCCCCACAGCCCTGCCAGTGACCACTGCTGAGTGGAATGTGTCATAGAGCAGAGGCAGCAAAGGCTGTCCTTGAGCCATGGTCTCTTGACTTTACCTCCAGCATCCCTGCACCCAGCTAAGGAGGGCTGCACCCTCTGTGTTCCCATTTTGGGGATGAGTAAGGAGAAATAATATCTGTAAATGAATCAGCTACAACTGTGTGGCTTGGGGTGCAGGGCCAGGTCTCCTTGCTGGAGAGCCAGAAAGGAGCAGGTGACGAGGTTCTCAACTCCTACCTTGCCACATGGGCGAAGCCACAAAGCAAGCTGCAGCCTGGTTCAGTTTGTTGTCCACAGGGCAGAGGATGGCAGCCTATCTGGTCAAGGGACAGGGCAACAGGAAACTCACAGGGATGGGACAAGGGCCAGGACAGGGTAGGATTCTATCGATGCTGGGGCTGGGTGTATAACTGGACTGTCAGATCTCCTCATGCCACTCAGGGAGCTCAGGGCAATGTGGCTATGCCCTTCTCTCCCCAGGACTTCCTGCGATGTGTCACTGCCGCCCTCATCTACTTTGTCATCTCCATCACAGCTGTTGCCAAATACTCCGATGGGTCTTACAAAGCAGCCGGGGTGAGTAGCTTCCTTATCCCGGGGATGGGGTGCCCAGCAACATCCCCTTTCTGAAGCTCCAGATGCTCCCTCATTTAGGTTGGAACCTGGACACGTCCTTTCTGCTCAGGCCCTTGGGTGCCCAACTGGGATACAGCTATTTCAGAGTCCTCTTGTTAGAGATTTGCTCAGTGACTTGTTTTGAAAGGCTGGTTGTCAGACCTGGGTCACAGCTCATTTCCCTTTCCTCAGAGGGGCTGTGCCTGTCCAGCCAGCTAAGGCCTCCCTCCCCACATGCAGCCTCCTGGTCCTGGGACCCAGGACTCTTGGTGATGTGCCTTGCCCAGTGTTCCCAGCTACATGCTCTGCACATGTTCCACAGGTTTTTGGCTTCTTTGCCACCATCGTGTTTGCAATTGACTTCTACCTGATCTTTAATGAAGTGGCCAAATTTCTCAAGCAAGGGGACTCTTCTGGTGCTGATGAAACCACAGTCCACAGGGCAGAAGGTAGGTGGTCGCCCTGTCTTTCTGCCAGGGAACCCAGCTGATGACTCCTAGGACTGCTGCAGTGCCCTTCCCCTCCCCTGGGGATACTTGGCCAGTTTGGGACTGGGAGAGGGACAGTATCCTTTAAGGTGGCCAATCACAAAGCCAGCCTATCTTTGCAACCAGGGCCAGCTGGGGTCAGGTATGCTGAGTGCCTCTGGCCCTGCAAGGCTCACTTCCTGGACAAGGCCTCAGGGCAGCCAGTCATTCTCAAGACACCTGTCCACCTGGGGTTTAGAGTAGCCACCTGCCCGGACCCAGCTTCCCCTGTCGTCCTGGTGCAAGGGCCAGGGAACCCGGGCGATTACCTTCTCCATGGTCCCTAGGCAAACCCAGGTACACTCAGGCTCATTCTAGTTTTACTTCCAAGGAAAAAGCAACAGACATTTCAGTCCCTCATTCAGCTCAGAAAGGCCAATGCATGTTCTTTTGATGTTAAAAAACAAAACAAACGGGCTGGGGATTTAGCTCAGTGGCTACGTGCTTGCCTTGCAAGCGCAAGGTCCTGAGTTCAATCCCTGGTATCAAAAAACCCAAAAAAAACTTGAAAGTTGGAAGGCTGTTTTTGTCTGTGACAACACAGCCATATCAACTGTCACATCTTCGGAGGGCTTGTGCCTTACACAGAACATGCAGCAGGAGTCCTGCAAAGATTTGTCAGGAGTCTCCATGGCTGTGTGGAGCTGTGGCCTCCCTTACTCATACCCAGAGGGGCAGAAGGGCAGAGCAGGTGGAGGTGCTGATGTGGGGTCCCCTCTACCTCGCTCTCCAGGGCTCTAAAGCCTATTGGCCACTTCTCCACTCTACCCTCACTGCACTCCCAGGTAGACTTTAAACAGAAATTGGTGCCACCATTGGCTAGCAACTCCACGATCTTGCTCAGCATCAAATTCATCCCAGCCTGGTATCCCCTGTGCCTTCCTGGGTTCTTGTGTTACTCCGGCTGAGCCCACCATGTGCTAGGCACTAGAGGTACAGGAATGGGCAGGGTCTACCCTGGGGAAGCTTACAGCCCAGACTGGAGTTAGACCCTGAAGCAGAGTGGTGCTGGATGCAGCAGGTTATGTGCTGTTCCCTGGGGACAGGAGTAGGAGGCGATGTCAGGGAAGATCACCAGGTGGGGCCCTAATGATGAGAATGAAATGGGAGCTAATGCATAGGGATAAAGTAGCTGAACCTGAGTCCCCATGAGCCTGCCAGGCTGGATGCTGGTGGAGGTGACCCTGGAGCTAGGTCTCAATGGATTTGTAGGAATGTGCAGGCAGAAGAGATGCGGCAGGTGGAGAGAGAGGACAACAGAGTGCTTCCCTTCCAGGTGAGGTACTTCTCTGGGTCAAGCAGTGGTGTCCAGGATAGCACAGGTAGACACAGGACAGGGGCCTTTCCAGGGACTCCAGGCCCTGCCTCCAGATTGATATCTTCCCCACTAAGTGCCTGCTGTCCCATGTGGGACCCCGCTGGTGAAGTCTAGAAACCACCCAATTCCCAACAGCTGGGCTGCATGGCCCATGGGGATCTGTGACCCCCAGAAACTGTCCCTCCACTAAAACTGAATGCTGTTCAGCTGGTCCTTCCCATACTGCAGCAAACATGAGATCAGATGCTCCTAGACATCCTCCTCAGGCATCTGTAACCTGCAGCAAGTGCCCACCCAGCCAGCCAGTCCCGTGATCAAATCATCACCATCAGGGAAGACTTGTATTTTGAATATTTTGTTTAAATATCTGGAGAATTGGGGGGGGGTGTTTATAGTTATTGCAATGAAAGTATACGTTAGATGCAAATATACCAAAATCTTACCACACAGTCTTTATCAGTGCAGCCCTGGCATGAGTGAGGGGAGCCAGGTTTGGGGAGGTTGTCCAAGCAGTCTGGGAACTCCTGCTCTCCCTGCCCCAGGCTTAGCCCTGAGCCAGAAACAGCTCTAGGACTGGCTAGGATTCTAAGAATCAGCAGCTGGCCAGAGAGGGGGCAAGTTTTAAAAAAGTAGTAACTTCGGTGGGCTTGGGGAAGAGGCCTGCAATGCTTTTACTCCCTGGGGTGGGCTTCCAGGATGCTCTACAGAACAGTCTTCAGTTAGGCGGGTTTGGGGAACCCTCAAGTCCCACATCACTGACAGGCCCTTAACACTGTACAGCTGTTTGTGACAGTGTACTAAAACAAGGATGGGGCTGGGGGAAGTTGATCTATAAAGTGACTTTTAAAAAGTCTGCTGATTTTCCAGTATATTTTAGTGTGAGGGACAGTCAGGTAGATGTCCTTGCTTTGTCCTGCTGAGTTGGGGGGTAGGGCTGAGGCTGGAATACAGATGTCCAGCTCTAACACCTCCAAGTGAGAATAGCCCAGGAGCCTCGGGAGGGCCTGAGGTCCCTGGGGAAGGGACATCTGGGCTTCAGTCTGGGGTGGAAGTGTCCCAACCCCCACCCCAACGGGCAGCTGGAGGTGAAAGCGGCCTCCTGTGGAGGTCCCAAGCCCAATCTCTCAAACCAACACATGCCCATAACGGCAGAGTCTAGAGTCAGCTGCAGGAGAGGCTGGGCCCAGGGCTCCTGCCAGCACTCACCCGGCAGTACCTTCCCAGAGACCGTTCCCAGGCACCGATGCCTGGAGACTCCTGCCTGGCATCCTCTATACTTTCCTTTCAGAGGAGAATTCTGACTCTGACTCTGACTGAGGGCCTGCTTGCCCAGCAACCTGAGCCACCTGGGGCCTTGGCAGTGGCACCTTCCTGACACAGCTACCGGAAGCCTGGCCAAGGACCCTGCGTGATGCGGGGAGGCTGCCTGAGTGAGCCTCCCCTCAGCCTCAAGGTTCATCCTGAGCCCAGCATTCAAGACTGCACCCCTTGGGTTGGCACGGCTAAACTACTCTACATCCCAGGGCACCTTGGATACTCTACCTTCTCCCTGTTTCTGCCATGCAGACCTTAAGCCCTTTAAGCCTGCTGCCAAGACCAAGCACAGGAAGAAACAGCAGGGCACCAGTATCCCACCCTGGTACAACACAGTTTGTGCTTCAGGGTAGGGCAGGGTGGGGGATACCTGTGTCTCACTAACAGGCCCCCGGGCTCTCTGCATGGGTGCGCTGCTTATGCTGGCTCTTTTTGAGAACAACACTTCTAGGAATCTTTGGTTCAAGGAGCTAAAGCAGGGAGAAACTGACCTTGACCTTACTATCTAGGCATGGATCTCAGCACCCACACCTGACACCTCAAACCCCGGAAACCACATCTCCTTCAGGTGAGATGACTGGTCTGGGTCTAACACCATTTCAAAGAAGAGCTCATGGACTCACTTGCTAGGGCCGACAGACAGAGGGAACCAGTCAGTGCTGTGGCAGTGACCACGGCTGGCAGCTGGGCAGGCCCAGGCAAACCCTCTTCCTGGAGGCCAGAGTTCTCAGGACTCTGAGAACCGTATGCTTCCTTGTGGATACAAGGGCAATTCTGTTGACCACCTCCTGAGAAACAAGACGAGCCTTCTGTATCCACCTAAGGACTTATATTTTTTATGTATCTTTGATGGGATTTTGTAGCTTTTTATAGGTTTTTTTTTTTATATATAAATGCAACTTAACAAATGATATTTTCTGTGACCTAAGAGGCCCTGTGAATGAGCCTGAGTTCTGGGCCTGCATTTTGGGCATTTGTAACTTTATTCTACTCTTGCATGTGAACCACCTACCCTGAAAAAGCCATAATGGATTAAACCAGACTGACTACCTGCTTGAACTGTGTGACTCTAAGAACCCTTCCGCCACCCAGAGCAATAATGTGCAGGACCGAATAACAGTTCAGCACAAACTAGGAGAGAATCCCAACAGCTTTCACTTTCAGCAACAAGGCATGCATATCAACTGTGTGCCAGGGTCTAGGGTAAGCATCTGACCAGTGCTTGATTCTTTTATTTAATCCTGCAGTCAAGGAAACAGAAACAGTAAGTGACTAGCCCAGAGCCCTCTTACTTACACATCAGGACTGTCCCATGGCAGCCAGAACCCAGAGCTTTTGTAGTTTGGAAACTGGTTGTACAAGGAACCTCAAGGCTGCAGCCTGGGAGAACTCTGGTCAGTGTTCTGGCTCAGGAGAGATGGGAAGAGGCAAAGCCTTCTCCCCTGAATATTACACATAGCTGAAAACATTAAAGCTGAACATGAAAAGCCAAGAGAGGCACAGGGTGGAGTTTCTGTCCACCTTGCCAGCCCAGCAGAGTGGGTATCATGGAGGCCTCACTGCATCTTGTGGACTGTGGCTCTTTCAACTTCCACAGAGCAAGCCTGTTTCAGGACCTGCGTCCATGGCCTTTGGTGGGGCAGAGGAGGCAAGGCAGAGAAAAGAGACAATAGTATTTTTACATGTCCATTTATTAAACAAGAACTCCTTCATGACAATACAATATTAGCGATTAGTGTTGAGAAAATTATTTCCCTCTACATACAAAAATACAGATTTGAACGCTATTAAAACAATCAAGACAAGTACCATGAAAAATTGGTCCTTCAAAAGAAATAAAGGGGAAGACTGAGGGCAGTGTGAGGCTTTGTCTGCTGTCAGGGACAAATCAATAGGAGCACACTTCGGGGTCCCCATTCCAAATGTACAGGGTCAAACCTGAGAGCCTGTCAGAGTGGGAGGAGGCCCACAGCACAGCATCCATGTCAGTGTGGGAGGCCAGGATGGGAGTTCTGCCCCACAAACCACAAGAGCCAACGTTTGCCCGGTACCCATCACCTCGGAATGCCCACAGCTGTGTCTAAACTGCCACGAGAAACAGACTTTTCAGAAACAAGGTGTGGCAAATTATTAACACTGCCCCTAAAACTGCCACTAGGTAAAGTACCAATGGGTGAACCGATCAGAAAGTTATGAGTTAGCTGTCTGACTGCACTTCCTTTGTTATCACAGAATAACATGTTGACTCCTCAGAAGGTAAAAAAAAGCTACAATTTCATGTTTCAGTAAATTGTACTTTCCTTCCACAATGGCTCAGTTAGTTTACACAAGACTTTCCTTGACCAGACACACCTCTGACCACAGGGTTGGAGAAGCAGAGGGAGCTGCTCAAGTCTGCCTGTGCCTTGGTTTCATCCTGCTCCTTCACAGGAGAGCACCTACTGCATTCAGGCCTAAAACCTGGACAGAGCCACAAGCCCACCCTGAGCATCCATGACCCCATCCGAAATCCAAACACATGGTACAGCTGGAGACAGGGTGTGGTGCTCCAGAAACCAGGGAGCACTAAGCCAATCCCGGAAGATGCCAGGCTGGACAACACCTTGAAGGCCCGAGGGGAATGGCAAGGAGCCAGATGCAGGCTTTCCACAATTTCAGACCCAGTAATGGGGAGGTCACCATGCATCCATGCAGTCTGTCTTCTCTCCTTTTTCAATATGGAACAGTTTTTACTGTTCAAGGTGAGCGGCAGCTCTTCAAACTGAGCAAATGGTTAAACAATGCCAAATGCAATTATATTGACTCATACTTATTTTACAGAAATATACTTTTACTCTCAGACTATTTAAGCAGAAACAAGATGTAGGGGCAAATGCAACAGAGAGATGAGAGTAGCCAGGGGGTTTTTTGTGGTTGCTTGTTTTCTTTTTGAAAATACGAAGTTTAAAGGGGAAATGGCCCAAACCATAAGACTAGCATTTTTGAAAGCAATATTAAAAGGACACAATCTGTAACATGCTACAAAAATAGTGTTATCTGTTTTAACTAAATGTACATCTTTTTTTCCAATTCCATGATTGACAAGAGTGCTTATGTGACACACGGAAGGCACCAAAGGTGAAGTGATTATTTGTCTTAAAATATACAAAGACAGAATTGCCTACTATGAGAAAGAAAAACAAAAATAGTCAAACCTGTAATAAATAGTTTAGTATTTCTGCCATGGGTTCCTGAACCCCTACAATTTTCAACATATACAAATAATTTTAATCCCTACCATTCTCTTAGAGGGAACCATGTCAAAATCAAGTTATTAAAAGCACTGATTTGATGCAAATAGGTCAATTTCGTCATGATTTGAAAGCTCATTAAGTGTGTTATGAATGAAAGAGTTGGAAGCAGGTGGGCCCTCTGTGGGCCTGGGCCAGCATGGGGATCATCCCAGACATCCTGCCCCTGTCCTTGCCCTCCCCATCCCTGGGACCAGCCCAGTCTCCTTTAATGCTTTCCTTCCTCACTTCCACAGAGAAGGAAACAGTCTTGAAACTTGCAACACCAATTCTGGGTAAATCAGGAAAACAGCAAGTGGGGCGAAGCAGCCATCAGTTAGGCCTGTCATGGTCTCACGCAGACACAGGTTTCCCAGGTGGTCTCATGTCCTGGCCATTTCTCTGGTGCCTTTCCTGATTAAGAGGGAGTAACTTCCTATTGGATGTCAGTAGCAGCTTCCAAAGACAACTCAGATTTGATAGTTTCAGACTGTTACCGAAACCTACATCAATCATTATCAGAATTTTGTTTCACACGATCTCTTTTCAGGAACAATTATAAAAAGAAACTCTAGGACTTGCCCTAACTCCCATCAACAGAGCTGATCTAGCTGGTTTCTGATTATGTTTTTAACATAAATATCAGAACCATAAAAGTTCTGATAGCTCACCAGAATCCAAGAAGTATCAACCCTTAACCAGTTTGTTCACCTGAATTAAAGTCGCAGCCTAAAAAGTGTGGACAACAGACTAACCCATTGAAACAGGAGCCCATAATCGAGACTTTATTCTAAGCAAGTTACCAGTGTCAAAGTCAGTGGGCTTCTAGGTCATTTTTTTCTTTGCTGTTATGTTTATGGAATAAGAAAAAGTAGGAAAAAAAAATCCTAAAGGTTGAAAAATTGTGTCCAAATGGAAAAACATATATTCAAGACAAGGGAGGGCTGGGCATTTAGTTCAGCGGTTCCGGTGCCTGCCCCACAAGCGCAAGGTCCCGAGTTTGATCCCCGGTGCCAAAATAAAAGAAAAGAGAAAATACAGGACCTTCTCTTTCAAGCCCAAAGCATGTACATATGCTATTTATTGGCATGAAGAAAAGCCCAACAGAATGTTCACTTACAGAAGAAAATCTTTCTAGATCTAACAAACTAAAGGTATTTTCTAAAACAGAGGAAAAATAAAAGGCTTCTAAATAGAGGAAACATAAAAGGTCAAATATTTCAAATTACTTTCCCAACCAGGCAAATCTTATGATTTAAAAGATATTGGCAGCCAGGTGTGGTGGTGTAGGCCTGTAATCCCAGCACTCGGGAGGCTGAGGCAGGAGAATGGCTATGAGTTTGAGGCCAGGCTGAACTACATTGCAAGACCCTGTCTCAAAAAAACCATTAAGAAAAAAAAAGATCTGCTAAGAAGAGAATAAACAAAAGGACTTACAGAATCAGGAAGATTTACAGAGTGAAAGAGTGGCCCTTTAGGTCTGTGTCCTGCCAGGGACCTAAGCTAATCGGCCACTTGCTCAGACCCAGACTAGATGCTAACCCATACCAGTAAGGAATGCTGGTCCCTAATGTTCAGTTCTTGCCCTCATGCTGGTCCAGGAACACAACACTTCACTTTTCTACTGACAAGCACACAGGCAGGCAGTTAACCGAGCACATTTCCACAGCAGCCAGGAGTTGTAAACACACCTAATGCCATCAGCAGCCTCCTCCCTTCTCCTCCTTGCCTCCTACCAGCCCCTGTGTGGATCTCACCTGCCCACCAAGCCCCTTGCCTAATTGGGCCTAGGAGTGGATGCTGATAAAACAGACCCAGGAAGAGAGAAGCCCTGGATACTGAAACCATGACAAACCAAAAGCGGTGCTTTGAGACCTCACAAACTAGTCCTGGAGCTGGATACAACTTTTTCTACTCATGAGAATCAATGAGCAACCCTTGAGCTAACAAGCATTTTCCTTTTTCTAGATGCTCAATATCAAGCATTATTACCCTGTAGACAAGATATAGAGGAAATGACAATCATGTGGTGGCATGACTTCATGGTTGCTCTGTTGGGAACATGAATGGCATAGCAGGAATCCTCTACATCATCACTCACTTCGCCACTGTCTCCACACTCCATTTCTATTGGGACAGTTCCTAAGATTGACCCATAGGAAATACAACGTAGATGGGGATCAGTCCTTGGTCTACCTCTGGGAGCACATGGATAGGTGAGGCATTCCTTCCAAATAGTGCATATGAATCTAAGGGAAGAGGTGAGCTTGGGTCATACACAAGAGGTATCTGAGGGTCACTCGTGGCAAGCAAGAGCTCACACGTGTACAGACAAAAGTTAGGGCTCTGTCTCCTCAGACTGTGGCTACTTAAAGTCTGAATCACTAAGAAAGCTTCAGAAAGAAACAAAACTGCAAACCTGAAGAAAGCAGGAAGGTTTTACACCTGAGCCTCAAAGCTGTGGCTAGAAGCATCTAGCACTGGTTGAAGGCCAGACATATCTGACCTGCCCACAGGCATCAGCCTTCGAGCAGGAGGCAGTAATGGCACCCCAGAGCCACACCCTCAGAGCCTGACTGGTCCTTGCTGGTTTCCCTGTGGCTGGGCTCTGTGCACAACAGCTCTTCAGCTCATTGTGCTAAGGCAGAAGAGGCAATGGAAGTGAGCAGGCTACTGTGTTGTTGATTTTCTGGTAGACAAGCAGTCTGCCTTGGATGGCTGATTACTTTAAATCAAACTTCTCTAATGAGATTTTAGTCTGTAACCAAGTTTGCCCTTTCTAGGGGCTAACAGCTATCTAGATTTTCATGGTTGCAGTATCTGTGTGTGAAAGAGAAAGGGTATTGCCTCCTCCATCCCTTCAGCAACATGAAGACAGGGTAAGGTGAGTCATAGGGGAAATACACAGCCAATCAACCAAGTCACTGGCAAAATAAACTTTCTCTGAAGTGTCTGCATCTATAAAAGCTATCAGAGGTTCCACCAAATCCTGGAAGGCTTCAACCCTGCATCTCCACAAACACTCCAGAATGGACACAGCACTGGTAGTTCCTTCAAGCTTTGCTCCAGCTTCTGTGAAAGCCAATTCATCCCACCAGAACACTGAGAAAACTGAAAAACTAAGCCTCAGCCTTAAAGTGCCCGAAACCTAAATGACATTAGTCCACACTGGATCAAATAAATGCAAAAATACATTTCCTTCAATTTGCAAAGAGGTCATTTTAATCTAGACCATCTTCTGTTTGTACACAAAGGAGATAGAAGAAAAATACGGGTGCCTTACATTCATGGTAGATGACCACATTCCCTTCATAACTCTTCCTCACTATCTGTACATGATGAGATGTAGGGCTGTGCACCACACCAATCAGACTGTACAGGCCACTTCTGCTTCTAGTGGGAGCAAATTAAATAGTACAAGGAAATACATTTACAAAAATCATGGGGAAGCCTCATGGCACAAAGGATATTAAATAGTTACAGGAACATAAATAATTCCAAAGATTCTATCACTAAGATGTAAATTAACACCTAAGTCTCTCTGGGCATGAGACGGTATAACTTTTTATCATTCCTCAGCATTTATGGTCTTGATGGGCCTCAGAACTATTTCTTTACACTGACAGTGCACCCTCAGGAGGCTAATCAGTGGTTTCCTTTTACCGGATAAGCTGGTTTTATTGAAGTGACTCAAGAAAACTTGGGCAACACTCTCACCTGAATGATATTCTTTTTTCACTCTTGCTTCAAGGTGGCCTTCATTGAGTCCAAGTAACTTGACTCCCAGCAAATTTCTGATAAAGCTCAGGGTGGTCCTTCCAAGTGGGCTCCATCTGATATAAGGCTGAGTCTTTGTGGCCCTATTTTAAATAGAATTCTCAGGGGGCAATAAAACCAATTTTGATTATTTTGACACACTCAACAAATGCACAATAAATATGTAAAATAGAGAAAATCCAGATGTCCTCAGCTCCCTCAAAATCACCACATATAAGAGGGTCAAAGTCTGTAAAACATGATGGTGCTGACTCACAAAATACACGGGAAGAAGGCTCTGTCAGCCTCATGCCCAGCTGTGATCAGGCCAAGCCACCCTCTGTGGAAAGAGGGGGGAGGAGTTATCACCAGACTAAAGGGTCCGTCCCTGAGGCAGCCATGCTTGAGTATGTGACCTGGGCCACCGCCCAGGAAGGGCTGCAAGAGACCTGGACTGTGTTGGACATTGGGGTAGGGAGGTAACTCCTGACCCTGGCCCTCAGACCCGACATACCACCATTCCTGTAGAATCCCCAGCCCAGCAGCACTACCTGACCAATATCCCTCTCCTCCCTGTTAAAGCAGACACTGCTCTTTCCTGAAAAACACAATGCCACATATACACAGGGGACACCCCTTCATACTCTCCTACCTCCTGCTCTGGGCCATTTCCTACACAGTACACAGCTAAGACTGTAAGTGGTCCTTAGTACAAGATGTCAGGGTTTTCCAGGATACTGCAAGATCTTCCCATCAGCAGTGCCTTTTCCTTGATGCGGCTAAACACAAAATATTAGAGCTACAATGATTTCTGTAAACATTAAAACAGTTCAAAATGTGAAAACCTGACAAATTATAACAACTTTTCCATGAAAGATACAATTAGTCTTTTAACAACAATCACCACAACAAAAAACTACAGCATTGTAGGGGCTTGTTTAACTCATTCATCACAAAAAAATAATCTTCACTTGATCAACAATCAAAAACTTAACTAGGATTTTCCCCAACAATTTCCACCATTGGTGTTCATAGTAATGATGCTCAGGCATCGAAATTGGTAACTGGTGCCATCTGACACATCAGAGGAAGGACGTGTCCTGGTGTAAATTCAAGTATTTTCAAACCCTAGACAGGTCTACTCAGAATCACTTTAAAATTCTTCTCAGGCATTAGAAAACTAGCACACATCCCTAAAACAGAGGTCTGTTTGTGTGTGGTGATTTGTAACACACACACATACACACACACACTCCCATGTATGGTCCAAGAAGCCAGCAAATAGGCAAGTGCTTTAGCTGGTGGAATGGACTCTGTTTCTTCTGTGGCTGTTACCTGAGAAGGTAAAATTACAGAAACTGCAATTCAGCCTCAGAGTGATTAGGGTAAGCAGGAAAATGGCAAACAAGATGGTCCCTATATTCTTAGAAAAGAATCTGGGACTCAGGAAAGTGATTCATTTGAGGAAGAACCAAGTGATTTCTCAGCAGAGTAGGAAAAAAGGGTAACCTTCTTGTAAGTCAGTGGTCCCATGAACTGTCCCATAGGCACCAGCTTTTCCTATCCCTATAATATTCAGGCACAGCAAAGCAATGCACCACTACACATCCAATACTAAGACCCTCCGAGTCCCAGGGGCTTTGGGGCTGTGCTGGTTGCCTTGATGCCCTGGACATGGAAGACAAGGCAGGCAGGTCCTGGCAGCCAGACTCAATATGCACCCAGAGCACACCAGGGGGCTGGCCAGCTGTCCCAACCCTGTGCTTTTGCTTCTTCAGGTGTATTTTCCCCTTCTTAGCAGCCCTGTGTAACCCAGCATCTTGACTCATCACAAACACATGTGACAGGGTGGCTCATGCATCAGTTAGTTGGCTGCTCCTGCAGCTGCCCAATACTGGAGGACACAGGCCTCTCCAGCCTACCATGGACCCACCCCCACAGCCACTCTGGACACCTTTTCCCAAAGTGAACTTTTACCAAAGAGGACAAAATTCAGCTGAATCACATGAAAGTCTGATGAGCGGAGGGAAAGAAAATTTGACAGGAAGGATGGCCACAAGGGCTGGAGGGAGGCGGACTCTGGTGGGACCTCATGTGTCCAGGCGCTGGATCTCGGGGCGACTGTCCACATCTCTGGACTCAGTGCGGGCTCGGATGTAGTCATTGGCGCTCTGCTGGCGGATGCTGACTCTCCATTTCTGTACGGCCAAGAATGTGCTCACTGCATAGGCTGCTGTTGCCAAGAAGCCAAATATCTAAAACATATAGGCAGAGTTAACCTTGGGCATGTCACCCCACCCTGGTGGCTTCAGAGACCTGAGCTGTGTGAGCCCCTTCTACATGTACCCTCTGCTCTTGAATGTAGACCTCTCACACCTGGCTGAGGCTGTAGTCATGTGACCCACAGAAACTCCTGCCTGACCTGAAGACAGCCTAGTATATCTTTTTCAGTGTTTTGGATCCATTTTTTAAAAAAACAAATCACAAAATTACCTTACTGCATGCACCTCCATGACCTCTCATCCTGGATATGTAAACATAACATAGACAAAATATGATGCAGAAAAAATACTAAAGTCTCATACATGAGCTCCAAATCAAGCACAGGGCTGACATTCCAAACCCACCCCTCACCTGGTGCCTATCACCTGGGCAACTCCGGGTGAAACGCAGTGGGGGGGTCGGGGGTTAAATATTTGGTCAGGCTTCATGAATCTACTGAGTGGCACTGGCAGAGCCGCCGGCTTAAAATTTTTTAAAAACCTCTTAATCTCCTTAATTATAAAAAGGATACATGTTCTTTATAAATGAAAGCAACAGAGAAATACAGAGCACAGGCAGTGAACAGCTTCTCTTCTCTGGTCAATCCCTCCTCTCTACCTCATCCCCAATGGTCAATAAAGAAAGAACTAACTAAAGGAGAATGAGTAGGACGCATGCCAGAGGACAGAGGACAGCAAGTCACGAGAGGTGCAAAATCAGCCTGCATCTTAACCATTCAAGGTTGCTTACCATGGCAGCAATTTCAGCTCCAGTTTTGTGGTTTAGAGCAGCCAGTACAATTGAGGCAATAAAGAAAAAGAAAGTGCTGAGTCCAGTGTTGACCAAATCCTAAAGAAAAAGATAAAATAAAACCACTTGAAAAGAAGCATTCTAAAAGCAGCTGAATTTCAAAAATATCCAACTTCCAATGGCTCTGTATCTCAGTCTTGTTGTCACAGGGGCATTGGTCACCCAAGGAAGAGCAAAAACAAGTTTATGACATTACTGGGCAAATCACACTGCAAAATCCACATTTTAACCTACCACATTACCAGTTATTGTCTTAAGTAGCAACTAAAACTAGTAACACTAAAAATTGTTTGAAGTTCTTGTGTCTTTATTTTTTGTGGTGCTAGGGATCAAACCCAGGGCCTCATGCATGCTAGGTAAGTGGTCTACCACTAAGCTACATCTTCAGCCCTCTAATTCATAAGATGCTTATGTCACCTTGGTGTGGACAAAGCTAAGAGTCCCAATGCACTGACAGTGGTGCAGTCCCCCAGCACACCCCATCTTTATATGTGACACTTTAGCATACTGTTTTCATACACTGAGGACACTTTCTTATATAGTCTTTCAAACCACTGCACTGCTAAAGCCTGGAAGATTTCTTTCTCAACTTCTTGCAAAGCAAATGAGGTTATATATGCAATGTTTCAGAGATTCAACTCCTGTCTTACTTGGTGGAAGAAGCACAGTGGTAGAAGGACCCCCTAGTTTGAGATTTATTAGGTGCCTTTATTCCTATTTTCTTGTTTTACACTCAAGACAAACCTGCAAGTAAAATATTATTTTCTCTGCTTTACCAATGGCAAGACTTCACCAATGTAGGGTTTACGAGACTTGCTCAGAGTGATGCGTACACCAAAGGGCCACCCTGGACTCTCAGCCAGCAGGTCTGTCTGACTCAAAGCCTTTGGTCTCAACCTTGCCACCAGCTGCTTCTTTGTCAAATTGGTCCTACTGCCCTTCAGCCAAAGTCCCTTCCCAACAAGCACCTACTGGGAGGGCCTTAGAAATGCTGCAACTGGGATACCAGTGAACAAGGCAACCACCTTGTTCTTGCCTCCAGAGTGTGCATTTCAGTGGGAGAGGTCTGCAGTAATTCTTTCATTTTTTCCTCCCAAAAAGTTTTGTACCCATTAAGATAATACAGGGAGCATTCTGTCAAGAAGACCTTCTCCCTCCCAGCTACTTTCTGTTTAATAATATTCCTAGGCTTTACAAGTTATTGGGAATTTCATTCATATTTTCAATTCTTCCAGAATCAATATTTTTGCAAGTGGTTTTGTATCTAGACTGAAAACTATGCAGATGTATTAATTCTATTTTCTTTCACGTATTCTGCAAATAGTAACATAATCAGTCTTCTCGGATGATCATAACATAGAAAGTGATCTTCAAAAGGGCCAAGAGAATTTTGCTGAGATGTTTATACCATTAGTTAAGATTCAAATTGTTTTGTAGTTTTACTCAACACAGTAAATAAATTTAAAACATCACAGCTGAGTTACAAGAAAATATTTAAGTATCAAAATAAAGAAGAACCAAACATGATGTGGAGAGATCTAATTTCTCTTGGAGCCAAGCAGCACCCAATCCTTTCAGTCAAGGTAGGTATCTTGTACTCACTGTCAGGTTCCAGTTGATCTGGGGGATCCTCATGTGAAGGTTGAGGCTGAACAGAATCAGCAAGACTCCTGTCACCACAAATGCACTACAGCTTACAAACTCAAAGAAGTAGAGACCTTCACACGGGGAGCACTCCATGATGGTCTCAATGCAGATGAACGCAATCAGGGCCAGAATCTAGGAAGAAAATTGAAAACATACATGCATGTGTGCTAACACATCTGTGGACATATATGCCTGCCATCTTTAAAACTGAACAACAGTAATGTATAGTTTTCCTCTGGGAATAGGAGTGTAACCATTAGAAATATGACCTGTTTCAACTCAGGTGGTAACAGGTAAGGGCCCTGAATCAAAGGATCACATTCCCAACAGCGAAGTCCCCACAACTTTGCTGGCATGCTGTGGCCCAGTGCAAGCTGCTGACTCTTAGAAAGGAAGAAGCAAAAGGAATACCTCTGTGGGATTTTAGCTTCTCTACCACCATAATTTCTTCTATTGCTTATGTCTGTTTCTAAGTTATGGTTTCTACCTCAACTATCCCAAACACTAAGACGGCACAATCTTATGCCATCTGCAACCACCTGGATGGTTTATCATGGAGGCATACAGGCCAACGGGGACCCCAGTGGCTTTAAAAGAATAATTGGTACAATCCCCTCTCCCCCCACTTAGAAGTCCCTGAAAAGAAGAGGCCCTTCTAATTAACTCAAATGCTTAGGAAAGTTTATCACTGGACTTCATCCAGAGAAGCTTATAAAATAACATTCAAAAATCCATCAATAATAGAATTAGTCTTTCTCAAGAACCTAAGTATCATTCTAAGCAATATGTCCCAAGAGTTTGGAGATCATAAAGTCAAACAGATTATCAATGGAAATTGCTAAGACAACTTGTGAAAGTAGAGTTCAGAAGAAGGAAGTGGTACCAGGCTGAATTAATGGCCCCATGATCAAGAGAAGGTCAGGTGGTCTTAAGCACGTAAGTCCAGATCAGTCATGGGCTCCCTGGCCTCGGCTCTGTTCCCAAGCATCTCATAACCCACCTGATGTCAGACCTGTGCCACCATGTACAGGCTGGGCCCCTCCTTGCAGGTCAAGGAAGCAGAGGCAGGTGGCTCTGAGCTCCTCCTGGGCCAGCATCAGCATCCCAGGGGGCTTATGAGAAATGCAGAAGGTCCGCCTCCCTACTTACCCTGTAGAATTAGAATCTGCTTTCTGACAATATCCCCAGATGATTAATGTGGGAGACGCAGCCAACACATGGGCCATTCTGGGGTCCTCTCTCAGGATAGACCATGCATCTTCCTGTGTCCTGAGTGTCTGGGGACAAGGCCAGGCCACCCTCGCTACTCCTAAGCACAAAAACTTGCACATAGCTGGTCAAAGGGGGCTAAGGAACCACAAAAGCCCCCACACCTACCACTCCCAGCAGACAAGTCAGGGCCTTTACATGAAAGGAGGGGTGGTCCTGACTTTCACACTGTAGCACTTTTCTATTAAGTCAACTGCATTGAAAGTATGAGTCTTGGTCAAAGGATACAAAATTTCAGTTGGGAAAAAATTAGTTACAGAGATCAATTGTGCAACATGATGACTACAGTTTCTGTACGTATTACGTTTTGAAAATGGCTAAGAGAATAGATTATATTTTCTCACTAGAAAAGACTAAGTAAAATAATGCATATGCTCATTAGCTTAGCTACACCATTTCAAAACATAGGTTGTACACAAAAAAAATGTACAATTTTTATTTGTCCACTAGAAAATAAAATTAAAGATATGGGTCTCTTAGAAACATACTGTGTGCTTTTCCTAACAACTCTCCTTATAAGTCTCTACAGACCCAAAGACTTTAATTCTCCATCTGAATTACATGCCTAACTCACAATCAATTCACAAAAGAAACAGTTCATATAAGGGAAACTTCTGAACTTCCTTTTTTTTCTTTCATCCCTGTAATCGGATCTACTAATCTTGAGCAAGAAATAACACACTGTGCTGATGAGTTACAAATGTTTCTGGTATGCTAACTTCAACCATATTTGTGTGGGAAGGTAACACCTACATTCTTAAATATTAAAATAAAAATGGCTTCAAGAATATGCCAATCTGATAGGTTATTCATTACAGTAACAAACAAAACAGAGAAAACTCCCTGCTTTCTAGCTCAAAGTTCAATGTGTAACTTTTTAAAACTAAATTTAAAAAAAACACTAAATTAAAAATAAAGTTAGCAATTAGAACAAAGGAGAAAAATTACAGCAGGGAAAGCAGATAAAGTGTAACAGACCCAAGGTGTGCAGACTGGATTTCAGGCCCGGGAAGGTTGCCTGGAGGAGGGGGGTGTGAAGCAGGAGCAGCAGTAAGATCCTGGGCTGGGGGAGGAAGAACCAGGGAGGATCCTAGGAGAAGCCGTATGCACAGAGCCCCAGGTGCAGGCAGGTCTGGAAGTGCAGCAGGCCTATGGCTGTCTCCATGAGGGAAACACTAGGGAAGCACAATCTGATTTACATCTTCAAAGGGCCACCAGCTACTATGGGAGATGAGACCATAGGGTGGCCTGAGGCATAGGCTGAAGAGCTCTATAATGCCCTAGAGAGGGGAGGGTGGCATGATCAGGGTGGGGGCAGTGTAGATGGTAAGTGTTAAAGGCAGAATGCACAGGATTTGCTGGCAGACGATGGGATGTGAATGGTAGAGGGAGCCAAGCACGATTCTCAGGTTTCTCCCTCAGCACATGGAAGCATAGTACTATACTGTCATACCGGCATGAGGAAGCTGACAAGGGAGCAGGTGATGGACAGGGATCAGGAGATCGTGTAGGGCACACTAAGGCTGAAATGGCTATCAGCTTCACATGGGGTTGGTTGGTAGACAAGTGGGTCTTGAGTTCCAAGGGGAGGGTAGGATGCAGACGTAGTCAAGAGTCACGGGATAGGGTAAGACAGTCCCACAGTTGTAGGGAGAGAGAAAAGAAGAAAGCTACGGGCTAATATCGGAGCACTCCATCATGTCCCACAGAGAAAGAACCAGGCAACTGAGACTGAAATTTCAGTTTGCCAGCTACCAACTAGGTATGGGAGTTGGCCTCCAAGAGGGTCCCAACCATCCATGCCTCTGGGGGGCTCTCATCCTTGTGACACAATGAATATGGCTGAACTGTTAGTGTTGCAGAAACAATGTCACAGGCTAAGTCAGAGAAGTCACTGTGGTTTCCACCTTGCTCTCTTTCTGTCTGGGATCACTGGCTCTGGAGGAAACAAACTGCCATGTCAGGACACACAGCAGCCCTAGGGAAGGGTGTGACTGCTAAAGAAAAAGAATGTCCCGGCAACAAACATATGAATGAGCCTTGGAAGTGGGTCCTCGTGCCACAGCTGAGCCTTCAGAGGACACAGACTCAGGCAACAGCCTAACTGCAACTGTGTGAGAAGCAGAGCAGAGCAAAGCCACTCTAGGATTTCTGACCCCCAGAAACTGAAGCATAATAGGTTGGTTGTTTCCAGCCACTAAATTTTGGGGGTAATTAGTTATGCAGCAATAGATAATGCTTTAAGGGGGACCTCATTTATACTATAATTGCTAATATTGGTAACAAGTACCTATTACTCACTGATTACCTTTGACTCAAGCACCATAAGACATTTATCATTCTTTACCATTTAGTCCCCAGGCACAACCCTGTGAGGTAGACATTAGCTCTCCATCTTATAAATAAGAAAATACGACCCTATGATGTAGACGTAGCAAAAGGCTGTGCTGGGATTTCATAGGCCAGATTTGATCCTCAGTTGCTCTAGTCCTTACTGCCCCACCTTACCATTTCCCTATTGGTTCCTTATCCAGAAAATAACATCTTTTCATACCTCAAATGGTAATTATGCTCAAAATAAAAAATGAAAATATACAACACGGTGTCTACAAATGATAACTTGTATATAAAATAAAGAAATGTTATATACTATACACATACCATAATTTAATCAACCCCTCTGATTGATATTTAGATGGTTTCTAACACTCTGCCATTACAAGGATGACATTTGGCACAGCAAAATGTCAAAATCTAATAATCACTGGGGAAATCTAATAATCACTGCTGAAGTAAACCAACCTATCAACCAATAAGAAAAAGGACTCAGCCAAAGTTATACTGGAAGCCAACAACTTCAAGGCAACCAAGGAATCAAAAGTAATTCAATGTATGGCAACTTTGCAGAGGACAAAAATCACATGGAAAAATTATACAGAGATGGTCAAGATCTAAATAAGGACAAGCTATGGCATACTCAGGACGTCACAGATGTCCTTGCAGAGCCCTTCCCAAGCAGTAGCCACCAGCTAACCCAGACTATTTTCATAATAGATAAGTAAACTGATATTACAAGGTTGTCAGGTTTCCACAACTGTGGCTAATTAAGATTGGCAACATCAAAAAGAACAAAGGGAGGGAAGTGGGGAGGACTGGCTGGTTATTATAACACTTTTTAAATGTTCATAAAGCCCTATTTTACCACTGATCTGATATAAACTGGTGAGGCCTTTCTGGAGGCTATGGGATGAATGGTACTGCTCACCAACACATCCGGGGCTCTTCTATGTAGGCATGTTTAGAGTTTATGCTGTGAAGTTTCCCAGAGGCACATTTATTCTAGAAGATGAAGCTAATGTTTCAGAGTCCCCTACGCACATCAGTGCCTTTACAAGACCCTGGAAGGGACTCTAGGAATGTGTTTGCTGGTCATATTTTTATAAAACCTACAAAAGCAAGAAATTTTAACCTCAAACAGCTAAGACCATGACCTCCTTTCACTCCAACCTCCTCCTGATGATAGTTCCTTATGCCAAATGATGATGGAGCAGCAATGGGCACTCTGGGACTTTAACTAATTGGAAGTTGATTGAGATATACATTTAATGTGGGATTCACTGTCGCTTCCACATATCAGTAAGTGCCTGTAGCCCTCCCAGTGCAGGAATGGCTTCCAGATATGTTCCAACATCCACTGCACTGACTGACCTGACATGTGATGAAGGGACAGGCCCCCAAATGTGTAAGTTAAACTTGGCCCACAATAACTAACTAGAAATATGTGCATAGTGGAGGAGAGGTGAGCTTGCAACATACAGAGCCAGAAGCTTGTCTGCAGGAAATTCTTTAGCTCATCAAGTATA